TTTCACAAATATTTTGCGATTGGATTTAAACTGCATCTGTCCAATACATCAATGGCATAAATTATTCTCTAAATTATAATATGATGCACGAAAAGTTCTTGACAAAGCCACTAGCTTATAAATCCCCACACAACTCCAAATACAAATAGAATGGAAAGAGGGGTGAAAAATTGTTTGAGATCTTAAATTGATTTTCAGATCGAATATTGTGTCTACCAATGCAAAAAAGAGGTTTGTCAAATAGACCAAAATTTTAAATCATCCATTCGACACATCGTCCATATTTCATTTTCCGAAAAACATGACAAAAAGTATAGTTTTGATAAACCGAATGTGTGTATTAATTGACATGCAAAATGTGCAATGTCTATACACAGCCATACTAAATAGAAATATAACCGAACACATGAAGAAGAAATTTATTCAGTTTGTCTGAAAGTTTTCGGTGCAATTTTATTGTGAGATGTGAGCCAAGTTGCACAAGTACGGTATCCCCATCACAAAATGACTTTTTATTTGTTTGCATTTTGCTGAATTTATATGGATTCCAAATATATTTCGGTCCAATATCATCACCGCACATACGTCCACAGAGATTTGTTCCTTTACTCTGACGTTTGTCTTGTTTCCTCTTTGCATTATATTTTGGGGTTGAAATTAATTTACGTACTCGTTTTTTTATCTCTCTCTCTCTCTCGGTCTTTATCTTCTATGTTTTGCTTCAGTAGTTTTTTTTCGCCCATCTATTCGAAATGCTATATGGATGACTAAATATGGCATTGATTCATATATGATTTCCACACATTGGCACATCTATAAATTCGAGAGATTCGCTTTCTCAAATAGAATATATACGGTTCGAGAATAGAAATGAAAAAGTTTTGCAAGCCCAATTACAAGCGCTCATGAATCCAATCTCGACAACAATTATAGTAATTTGCACTGTGAAAAACAAGTTTCGACTGAACGATGAATTGAGAATAGTAGCCACAATAACAAAGCTTATAACTTTGCTCTTGCAAACGATCTCATTAGAAAAGTATTAATACGAGTAAACTCGAAAATTTGCAGAAAATATTCGAAGCCAGACACCATCAATGTAGTTAAATAAATAAAACCATGTTTCGAAACATACACATAGCTGAGGCTATCCAGTAATAACGAAATTTCATATGGATGAAATAAGTTTGAAGCTGGACGGCGTTTCGTACCGATAGCCGTACGAATACTTTTGAGAAAGAAGAAAAAAAATGAAGACTGGACAAGCTCAGTTATCACAAAAATAAAGGCATATAATTGGATGGACGAGGTGAATTCGGACGATTATAGCAGGCATTGAAACCAAACTAAATAAAATACTTTCAAATGGATTTATTTTTGTATTTGTCTCGCAAAAATATGATGTGTGGTATGCAATCATTTATTTCGAGCAGAGAGACTGTTTATCTTTTGTTTCTAAAATAATATCCCTTATTTTGATATACATTACGCGAACGATTGTATTTCGAGTAAATATCCTGATTGAAATTAATTTAAGCTGCACAAATTACGAATTGCATCAAATCAATTCCTGATCTCTCACTCATCATTGTTTCCCAAAACGTTGTGAACGCAAACTACCTACAGCGCGCACAACAAACTTGAACAAAAATTTCTCATATTTCTCCACCCTTTATACTTTATCTGCATTATTTTGTGTACAAAAAAGCAACATAATTTTGTATTCGACAATTGAACGAAGTATGAGATGATCTCAGGTATTATAATGAAATTAAAACCATCGGCCAAAGTCTTGTGCAACCAAAACCAAGTTTCACCTAAGTGCCATTGTGTGTCAGTGTATATCTATATATGTAGTCTATATCATATAATAAGCGCTTGTGCAATGAAGTAAACAAGAACGAAATTAAGTTTTAGGTAAACCACCTCAACATCTCGAACGGTGTGTCGTGTTTGAAGAAAATGGAAAATTTTGTGGGCTACAACGAGCCTACGAGAATTGAGATACCAATGCATATACATACACACATTGCATTTAATTTTCTCGAGATTGTAGATTGCGGATTCGTGAATATATTTCGAATTTACCCCATAATTCAATTTCAAAATGCATCGCATTTAAGAATACCACAAATTGCCATTGCTCTATCGAATTGCTGAATTACCGAAAAATTTTCGTTTCGCACACAACTATCTTCAGTTAACCTGCCAAGGTATGTGCGGTTCGTACACGCATACACGCCCAATGCGACAGCACAAGACAGCATCTCATTCTTTTCACCAACACATTCCGGCTGCGTTTTTCCTTTTCCTTTTTTTATTATTTTATCCACTTTTCTTGTTTACTCGCCTCATTCTCATCGCCTTATCATTTTACATTCTTCTTGTAGCTTCTGACACACACTTGAAACCATGAAATTAATCTATTTAAATCCTTTTTCGAAAATTTTATGACAAATTGCAACAATGGATGGTGCTGCTGGATTCGTATTTGCATAAGAACATAACGATGTGGCAATATACTTAACCAGTTTTTGGGGGACAATAAGTTAGTTTGTAGTCATGGAACTTTCAAAAGGAATTAGTCACACACACACACATACAAACAATGATGTAGAAAGAAAGAAAAACGAACAAATGATTGAATGGCACACTTCATAATGCTTCTTAATCCATTTGTGTTTATATTAAATTGTGAGGAAATTTGGACGAAACGAAAGTGGGATAGTATGATGTGATGGTTTTTGATTTCCGAAAAGGTGCCAACGGTGGTTATTCAGTGCATTTTAATGCCACTGCGAATTAAAGAGGAGATTTTTTTTATGGACGTTTCAATTTTTAATGGGCTAACATTAGTTGATGTGGGAGTTGAAGAAAATGGTCGAAACAAGAGAAAGAATGAACGTTCTGCGGTTAGTTTTTCTCATATACCAATCAAGAAATGAGTGTATTCCAACGAAACGGGGAGTTAAGCGAACAAATGATAAATTGCTCGATGATTTGGATTGGTATTTTGTCATGGAATGAAATATTTCTATCGTATGAAGTGAATACCAACGGAATTCCCCCTGAATATATGTGACATTGAACAGGTCAGATCAAGGTTCACAGTGCCATTTGCACAGTTTGTTCGTGATAAATCAATATGTGAAATTGAAATGTGTATTCAGTGCATGACATACAACCCACAACATGCGTTTGAGATAAAATGCCCACAACGGATGAATTTCGAACAGCACTAACACTGATTTGCTTGGTTATATTTTAATGGAAAATGCTGATTTTCGAGTTTACTTATATTCATGCTTGTTGTTATTGCTTGATGAAAACTAATAACCAAAGCATATCCGCATCACCGATATCGAAAAATAAAACGACGTTTAATTTTCAAGTGGTTTCAATTATATGTGATACCGTGAACATTTAGTTTATGCCGGTTGTCTGAATTCTGACACATTCGGTTACGGACAACTTTGACGGCATGGTTTTATTAAATCATGATCATACATATTCATATTCAATTTGAATAACATTTTGTTGTACCTGTGGTATTTTCGGGTTGGAATGCTTAAACGCGGTCGACTACCCAAGTAACATAAGCCGTTTCAAATACTGTCGCTTTTGGATATATTACGACTGTAATTTTTGACTCCACATTCCACCAACATTTCATCCATTTTATCTCCAAATCCGAACTTACTTTGGACAAAATTATCTCCGGATTAGATTCGGTTTCGACGATAGAATTGGAGTTTTTATGAATATTGCAACATTTCATTTTTTTAGTTCATGAACATTTTTTATTGCTAATTATAATTCAAACTTTCTAACGAATGTAACAAAGGTATGAACACGAATTCAGTTTTGTATGACAAACACATCATTTTGCATTCAATGGATTCTATGTTAAATACTTCATATTCATCGGATTCGAACTTTCCATCGCTTATATAAATATCTAATTTGGTCGATGTTATCGGATTTATAAAAAAAGGTTCTTTTTGTTTGATCTTTAACCCATACATTTTAAAATATATATCTTTTAAAGCATATTTAAATTTAACAATTTCTTTTGACTTTGTCATAAACCACGAATCTCTATCTTTTCGACTAGAAAATATAACATCTTTTGAAATTGATATTTTTTCGAAAATAGGTATCAGTTGATTTTCATGCTGAGTTTTACAAAAAACTTTCACCTCAAAAGGTTCATGAACAGTTGACTCATTTATAAGTGACGTATTAGGTATTTGTAGTTCTCTTTGTTCGGTGATACGACAAACAATTTGCTCTAGTGGACGATTTGTGTGCTTCAACTTTAAACTCAAGAGTCGTAACGTATTTTCAAATTTGTATGTGCTTATATTCATCAAATTTCCAGTGTCACAATATAACAAATCTTGTGATACGTGAATTAAATTGTGCACATTACTGGTAATTGTATGACGTCCATATATTATTGCATATTGTTGTACATAAAAATTGAATAGTTTCGATGCGATAGATATACAAGACTTATATCTATCACAAGAACACAATCTAACGGCAACAAACAGGACGAGAAAATGGTTGTATTCGTTCTCAGGTAGCACCTATAGGTAAGAAAATTCTTGAATTTATTCACTTTGGTCATGACCGAACGGTATCTTGTTAACCGATATTATTAACCGAACCTGTTTGAAGATTACAATTCCATAGTATAGCAGCATTGTACGATATTCAACTCCTTTCCAATGTCGCAGGCAATCTAATTTTCTAATGGCACGGTGGATATCAAGCGGCATTTCTTTTCCGCATTGTATAAGAAGTCGTGATGTTAAATCGATTAGAGGTTTTGTCCATTTTGATTGGTAATTTTTACTCCCGAAAACCCAGCGGTACATACATTTTCTCATAATTCCTAAATCAAGAAGGTGTAGCGGATCTGATGTTGTAAAATCGGAAATCATATTAATATTTAACTCTTCAAATAAAGATTTTTCTTTATGGTGGTTGGGCTGAGAACGTCTTCTGAATGTTTCGTCCGTTCGCAAAGGCGAATCGAGTTTTGGAAAACTCATTGTATGAAATTCTTTGGAATATTCACCAAACGTAGAACACTTCTGACATCCGTTTCGATGATTGAATGAAACTGTGCCTGAACGAGAACAAAATGACTATAGTCGTGGCGTAAATATACGTATACGGTATATTAAATAACATATGTAAAGAAAGTTTTGAGACTAAATTCAGGCGTTTATTGCGCTGCATAAACAAAATCAAAAATGTCAACCAATGCACATAGGAGACTTAACGGGACTCCTACTCTACTGTCAAGCACAATTTGCACAAAAATGTCCATTCGCGATGACGTACAAATTGGATTTACGAAAAAGTGTCTCAAATGGTTTTGGCGGCTAATTAAACTTAAGTTTAAAACAATTGTTTTTGATTTAAATTCTGCATGTGTCTAAAGATGAACCATAGTTGCAATATTGCAAGACAGATATCTGTCTTCGAACCATGTATCGTGTTTCATGGACTTAATATGAAGACAAAGATTCTAGAAAAAGCATTAAGTTCGGTCGTATTCCCAAATTAAATGTCATCGAGTGCAAAAATCGGGTTGGTCAAGCAAAAAATCATTTTTGGTGATTCTTATGGTAACAGCACATCCAAATTTGAACCAAAACAATAGATTTAGACACGATCATTAGTAATCAGCAAAATAGGTTACGGAAAAATTCCAAAGTGTGTCAAAAATTGGCTGTTCACTACGCCTCATAGCATGTGTCATTGAAAAATTCAACATTTTGGACAATGAAACATTCATCGCTATATCGAACCATGAATCAAGTGCAAGTCGTTTCTTTAAAATCCACAGTAATGGCTCACTTCTTTAAAAATATCATTTCCATGAAAAAAGGACCATCTTTTCAACTTCACAAAAAGACACCGAATTAATTATTTCTCGTCTGTTTTTGGATGTATGTTATAGGCGAGGGTCCAAAATACTTGAAACGTGCAACAATTGGTTGGATGGATTGAGAGAAAGTTGATAAAAATCTAGAAATCGGTCAAAGTATGATTTTGAAGGTTCGATACATACTTCAAAAAATCGAAGACAATGGTCCGTTCAGTGAACTGTAAATGTGTTTTCGGGTTGCCTATGAATAAAGCTAACTACCACTGAGAGAAATTTTCAAAATGCTTCTTTGGTGTTTAAATAGCGTACGCATGAATTTAGTCTCAAAACTTTCTTTACATATGTTATAAATAACAATAATATTTTTATCATATAAATTCAGAAAGCATTGATACCCTTCAAAAACGATCTAGCTGGTGTATCGCAGATAATTTGACCAAGTTTAATAGTCACATGTTGTGAGTTAATTCGGATCCCATCTATCAAAACCATTTTAAGTTCATTCACAAGAGGCAATAGGTATTCATTCAACAAAGGCTTCGATTCACCAGCCCATATTCCGAGCACTAATACAGATATATCTGGAAATTCTGTGTTAGATTTATAAATATAAAGTCTATAGACAACAAAAAAAAATTGTTTAAAAAAATACCTCGAATAGAACCCAATATAGGCCAGAATTGCAAATTTGAAGACTTAAATATTGGTAGTCCATCGAAATTCATATCAAGTGTTATTGAGATATCTCGAGAAAGACCTTTAAATTCCTTTTCTAAGCATGCTTTGATTCCACCATACCACATTTTGCCTTTGCTCAATATTTTGATAGACAAATTTGTAGGAGTTCTCATGAATGTTCGGCTATCTTTTGGCAAAAATGTGAAGCCAGCGAATATTAAGATTGCTAGTAAATCATTAATTGCACTGGCAGAAATTCGATGATTTACTGCCCAACATTTTAGTTTGTCCTTAAATGTTGGAATTAAATCATCATCATTTTCATTTATGACACTATCTATTGATTCCGAAAATGTTGACTTAGTTTGGCTGTCTAGTATGTCACCTGGCATCGAACGTATTTTTTCTTGGACTCGATTTTCATAAAACAGTTTTATTTTCTTTTTTTCACGACACTTTCTAACTCTCAAGCGGTTCATTTCAATTTTTTTATCAAAATGTTGAACTTTGCCCATTTTAAAATCTATAGGTAAATTATAATTTTAATAATAAGAATGTTTTTAATCAGCTGTTCGATATATCGAATAATGTTTATAATATATTCAACACTACATTCAACACAGACTCCAGCATCTAAAGTGTACACTGTATACTTTTGAATTGATCTACATTGTGGATGAGTTACTATGCATAGTTAACGTGTTAACCATGCTTAAAAATGACATGATGCTTTGACAGCTGGTCAAGCATTTCAGTGTATTCAATTGCGAAGTATTCTTTTCTGTTCAAGCAAGTTGATGAGAAACAATCCAGTTTTCATTACAAAAAAGAAATAAAGTGAGTACAATCCGAAAACTATAATCAAATTATGAGCATATATGCGTTCGTAAGACTATCATAGAGTTTAAAAACAGATTTTTTTTGCAGGTATTTCAAATCAGAACGCATAAAAAATGAGTGCAACATTTGATCTATGTGATGAATCGTCTGAAATATTTTTCATTCGTCGAACAATAGTATGTCGCCCATGTATCGTACGTATTGAAATATGCATTGTTCGAAATATTTACTGTATAATATTGAATAAAACCGATTTCATTTTAGGAATCGATTTCTTGTACGCGAGAAGATTTTGAACGGCACACACAAAAATGTTCACACATAAATCAAACTAGAAAATATTTGTCTACTCTGTCAACAAGTGAGGCACCAAATATTATTTCGTCTACATTTTATGGCGATTCTCAATTCTCGAATACGATCAAACATTCAATCGAAGGTAAAATGAAGATTCAACTTTCAGTGTTTTCTTTTAACGAATAACTGTTTTTAGTTTCAGCAAATCACACCAACGCTCATAACATTCAATATGAGGCAAACGCGAGAAATGCTGAAATTTCAAGAAATTCATGCGCAGAAGTAAGCCAAAAAGCTATAGCTCATGAGCCTTCTATGGTTTTTGAACCCGTTTTGGACGAACGAATTTCTCGTTCAATCAAAAAAGTAATAAATCAAGACGTAAATGGTGCAATCATACCAGTCACATCACCATTGTATGCAGATAAATCGTTCGAAGAAGTTTTGTAAGTTGAAAATCGTGTGAACCGAACTTTTTTTTGACAATAAATTATTAGTCATAATTTTTTACATTAAAATGAATTTTCAGGTCAGATGTTGATTTAAAACAAGCAATTGCCGCCAAAATGTTTATCAAACCATCGAAAGTTCAAGTGACCCTGTTAACTCAAACAGTGGCATCACATGCTAACTTACTGGTTTGCAGTGAAGGTGGAACGGGAAAATCCTTTGGAATAGCAATGTCGTGTTTAAATAATGTCGGCGAATCGCGTTTACACAAACAAACGATCATTATGTGTTCCACATTTGAATCAGCTATACAAATGTTCGGATATGTATTGGAATTGTATAGTAGCCGTGACAGGATTGCTTGTTTGGTCACTAAATATCCAAAACCACCAGAAAATATAAACGAAAAAATAGTTGTTGGAACACCTTCTGAAATCATAGAGAAATATAGGACTGCAAGCTTGATTGACGGCATAGAAAAAATATATTTTGATGATGCAGACCGTTATATGTCTTGGGGAAAAGTAAAGACATTTGTAGAGAAGGTCCACGGACAATTGATTTATGTATCTGGCTATCAAAATGAAAACACGGAGAGGGTGTTCAAGAACTTCGGAATGGCTACGGTTACGAAAGAGCCATTCATTGGCCTCGGAAAAGGAAGTATTGAAGTAAGTACCCCGTGCTCATGAGCAGTTTAAAAAGCACATCCAATATTGGATTGCATATATATGCATATTTTATCATCTCGACATACAAATTAATGGAATTGTGGTCTTCAATCATTTTTAGTCGATCAAAATATTATTTTAGGGCACTCAACTCCAGCAGCGAAATCGATATATAGCTATAGTCGAGCGCCCTGAAATAACTATTTCTCGACTCCAGCAGCGAACAGTGCAATTTCCATTAATTTGTACGTCGAGATATTAAAATATGCTCATTTACTACACTAAATACATTTTCACTATAAAATGCATCCAAATTTAAAATAATCTTTTCCTCTGTATACAGTACATTTTCATAAAATCAGCAGATCCCACCATGACCATACAACGGATATGTAAAGAATTTAGACATACTACTGCACAGGCTGTGATTTTTTGTGCCGTAATTATAGCAAAACTAAGTTTTATTCATTGCATAAAAATGTCTGATCACAATTTTCTCTTCTACTTTTTTCAGAATCGCTCTGAAGCATATAAGCTATCGAACCATTTGATCAACAATAATGTAAATTGCAAACTTTTGTCTGGTGCCATGTCGTATAAAGACCGAGAATTTGCATTGACATCATTTTCTCTGGGATCTACTCAATTCATTGTCTCCACCGATGTTTTGAATACTGCAATTAACGGAAATAATGTCAAAGCAATAATTATCGCACAAATGCCGAATTACAAAGGAGCTATTGATTTCAAGCGTTTTAGATTCAGCGTTGGACGTTGCGATCGTTTCGGAAAACAAGCTATAGTTTTTTCATTTGTTTCACAAGACGATATGATCAATGAAATTCAAAATCTCAGTATCAAAAAGTTAATCATTGAAAATTGAAATTATTTAAAATATGACGAATAGTGGTGAATAGTTGAAAACTCACCAAATGGTGTATACACGTTTCATACAACTATTTTCAGAAAAAAACACACTGTCATCAATTATATTTATACTGCTGTCAACACTTCTATAGAATGACACGCGTTAATTATAACTATAGTTACTTATAAGCGCTTATTTGTTGGTTTTTGATAAAATAAAATATATTTGATATCTATTCCAGAAGAATTATTGTTATCAAAGTTTTTGTTTTAAAGTGTAAACACAAAAAAATATGTCGAATGATAAAATGAATGGCATATCGAAAAAAAGAAACCGCTACATACCACAAAGGTTTGGAGCCGCCGGAGAAATAAGTTCTGATTCATTCGAAAACGATATTTTTGGCGACAATTCATTCGATGATATAAATTATGACCCACCAAAAAATCCACCAAAAACCATAGCAACAATTTCAAAGGCATCGTATCCACAAAATAAAAAAAAGAAAACTAAAGTCACTACAGATAAGCATCCCGACAATAGAAATCAAAATGCAGAAATTAATTTTGATGTTGAATTCGATTTGTTAAAAGAACAAAGGTCACTTGCTGGGACAAAGAGTAGCTTAGCTGGTCATCATGATGAAAAAGGCGCTCAAAATACAACAAAAACTCTTGACATTGATTTGAACTCTGAAAAAGAACCGCTAGCTCGAAACATAGCACGCGACTATGCAACAAGTGGTGGTATTGATGTCATAAATGAATGTCCATTTGAAGTGAGCAATGATAAAATTGAAAATAACGGTGATAAATTTAATGAATCATGCTTGAAAATTTTATGGGAATTACAAGCAAATTCAAAAGAAACTTTGGCGAGAATTGCATTGTTAGAAAATGCAATGTTCAAGAACGAGCATTTAGCTATGATGATTAATCAAAAATCAAGTCTTGTGAAAAAAATCGAAGACGCCAAAATGTTTACTACCGCCAATAATCTACCCATTCAAAATGCAAATCAATTGGACAAATTTGAGGAAAATTTGAAAGAGGAAAAATTCAAAGAGTTAGCGGTAATTATAATTGTATTTACTGATTTGTGCAACATCCATTTAGGGTCTTTTTTTCTTTTTTGTATACAGGTCAATTGTCTAGCAAACATACCAGATGTAAAAGGCAATATTGGAAATCAACCAAAAATATTAAAAAAATTGTTATTAGAAATAATGGACAAAAGTCTCATTGCTCAATTCAGTTGGACCGGAAAATCATCCAATGGAAAGAAAAAATCATTTAAAAATTTAATTAATGTGAAAGACTTATTGTATAAATGTGTCAATAGAATTGACGTAAATTTCACTGAAATTTTAGCGGAAAACTATCTGAAAAATAAAATATTAAAATACGCGAGCGAGTAAGTTTCATATAGTACTCATGAGTAAATTAAATGTTAACATATATATATATATATATATATAATATATTTTTTTAAAAATGAAAACAGTTACAAACGGGAGAAAAAATCTGACATCATACGGCTGCCGGAGTTAATTAACTTAAGTGACTCAAAAGTTAATTTAAGTCACGTAAATCAAGTTCATGTACCAACGACGCAGTCAAAAGCTGACATTTGTTCAGATGGCTATGCTGTTGTAGACAATAATGTTGGAAGTGTTGAACGTGTTTGGGATTTAACACAAAAAAGTGATTTCCAAACTAAAAAGTAAGTGCCAATCATTGATATTTTTATAAACTTAAAAATATACATAGACGTTGAAATATTTCTCATTCATTTTTTTGTTTAATATGAAGGTATGGTTCAATTGAAGGCTTACCACTGGGTTCGAGAATACTTCCCATTAACAGTACATATTTGAGTGGTAAAAACAGTGAAGTAATCCAGAAGGGTTTTAGATTCCAAGACTATGACCATGTGTAGGTTTTTCTCTGTTGACCTATTTCTGCTAATCTTATTCAATGTATATATTTTTTTATTTTGTACAATGATAGAGAGACGTACAATCGATTGTCCGATGACGATCCTCGATACTCAGTCTTCAGTCAGCAAATAAAATCGATTCCAACCTTAAATCGCATTACAACTCATACACAAGCTCAATCTCGAGGAGCGCAATTAGTTGCACTAGCACTTGGCCAAAAAACGACACAAACAAAATATTGACTATATAGTTTTTATACAAAAAGGTTAAAGAAATTTTGACCATCAATATGAATAAATTCAATGCAAGCATTTTTTTAGTTTCTTCGATCATTTCAAAATATATGTGTAAAAATAAGAAAAAAAAAAGATTTTATTCTTTAAAATTAAATCGTTATTTCAAGCAATCATTTTATTTGTATATATGTATGTTAATTAAATAAATTTCAACTCTATGGACAATAATCTTTAGTTGTAATCATTGGTCAAAAATTAATCGTTTCATCTGATGCGTTCTAGTTGTTTCATAATAGAATTTTTCGATGGAACTCCCAAAACTAGTTCTGCCTCTTGTACTGACTTACTATATAATTGGTTCTTTCGGCCCTTAAGATTAGATAGTATAATATCAGCACAGTCTTCAAATTTGAATATGTTTTTTATAGTGGTTTTGTATGTAGTGTTATCACCAAAAAATCTAACATTGACTAGTTCTTCATTGAGCTCAATTATACGGCATGGCCAATGACAAAAACCTCGCATCTTACACAAAACGACTTCATCAATTTGAACAACCTCAGCATGTTTTGGTATTTTTTTGACTGTAGTCAGTGCTCGTTGTTTGTTCGGCATCTTTTTGGGCTGACATTTAGGCTCATCTTGAAAAGTGAACGATAAAAATGTGTTAGAATCAACTCACATTCATTATATATTTTTAAAGTTAAGCTTATAAGCATTTATGAATACGAACCATTTATAGGTGCTTTGAAAATGACATTTTTGATGCCAATTGGCGAATTCTGGCTTATTTGATCATGATCCATTCCATCTGAATCCATCCGTGTAGACTTAGATCCAGTTTTCCGTTGACTACTTCGTATTTTTTTACGATTTTGTTCTGAACCTGAAATTTATTTAACACATTAATTAACATATGTTATAACCTAACTATTTGTCATGCTTTTTACAAACCATTGGTGATAATATCGTCACTTGAAGTATTGTTTTCATGAATAAACTTAACTCTTTTTCTCGGATTCATTTTATTGTTATCCATTCGATCGACGTTTTTTCTTTTGATTCGTATGGAAAATGTATTTATCTCGTCTTGTTTAATGTGGCACACCAAGTTGTCATTTTTTTCTGAAGATGTTGCAGTACATCGAATTCTTATTTTCGAGAGAAAAAGTCTCTCCAGTCTCACCTCACATGGCTTGATTTTAAAATTCTCCACGATATTATTATGTTTTCCCATTATTTTTGAATATATATAATTATATTATAACAAAGATCGCAACAAATTGTATATATACTGCTGGAGTCGATATAACACCATTGAATGTGTTGAATATATTGTATGTACTGAACTGTGAACTGTCAAAATGTATGCACAGAAAGCGATCACTCATGAGCGACATCTTACACAAACTGATGTCCCTATAGTGGCATACAATATAGTCAACACATTCAATGGTGTTATATCGACTCCAGCAGTATACATGTATACATACTGCTGGAGTCGATATAACACCATTGAATGTGTTGAATATATTGTATGCCACTATAGGGACATCAGTTTGTGTAAGATGTCGCTCATGAGTGATCGCTTTCTGTTCATACATTTTGACAGTTCACAGTTCAGTACATATTCTACAGCTCATGAGCACTTGCCTCAAAAATGACGCGAAAAAGAAAGCGCAAAAGCGAAGAAAAGGGTAAGTATTTTATATATTATATTATAAAATTAAATTATAAAAATAAAATTATTTATATGAAATCAATTGAACGCTCTAGAATAAAAACAACTTATTGTTTACTCGCATATTGAAAAGCGACTCAAAACGGTTGCATATCAAAGCGAAACAATATTTCGTTACGAAAGGAATAAAGAACATTGTTTTTTTTTCATACAAAGTGTGTATGCTTCGATTTGTTCTGATAACTAGCTACTGTTCTGCCTTGTTTTAATAACAGAATTTTGTTTTGCTTTGATATGCGACGCAGTTTAACGGTATAAATAGTTCGCACTCTGGGAGGCTCGGTAGAGAACACACAAAAAGTGAAAAAAAACTCTTCAAATTTCATATACAATCAAATGGTCTGTATCAGCGCGTTCGATCAGAATTGAAATTTGTTTGTCATCGCTTCTAGATCTAGAGCGTTCAAATATTTTTGTCTGTAAATTTAAACAAAAATTATTTTTTGCAAATTCAAAGTGATTGAAGGCTTTGCCGAAACTGGTCAATTCCAAAAGATTGTGCTGTACGCCAAGAAGGTCAACTACACGCCCGACTACGTCTATTTGTTGCGTTCAGTTATGCGTACCAATCCAGAACAAGGGACAAGCTTTGCCGGTATGCTTGTTGCCGATGAAGAACCATTGGCTGACATCAATCAAATCGCCGATATTTTCATGGAACAAAACATGTTTCAACAGTGTACGGACTTTTTATTGGATGCATTGAAACGAAATCTACCACAAGAAGGAGCTCTACAAACTCGTCTATTGGAAATGAATTTGTTATCGGCACCGCAAGTTGCCGACGCTATCCTAGCTAATTCAATGTTTACTCACTACGATCGCGCGCACATTGCCCAATTGTGCGAAAAAGCTGGATTGTTGCAGCGTGCACTTGAACATTTTACCGACCTGTATGACATCAAACGTATTGTAATTCACACACATTTATTGAACGCTGATTGGCTGGTCACTTTCTTTGGTACTCTGTCCGTTGAGGATGCATTAGAATGCTTGGAAGCTATGCTGACAGATGACATTCATCAAAATTTGCAAATTTGCGTGCAAATTGCCAAAGAATACCATGAACGATTCACAACAAACGCCTTGATGGAATTGCTCGAAAAGATATACAATGGTGTATTGGATTTACCAGCCTGTTCCGATCATCGATACATCGTAGAATACTTTCAAAATCTTTTGATTTCAGCTGCAATTAAGATTGATACCGCTCGTGTCATGCACTACATCAAATATTTCGAAAGTTTTGACGCACCGATAATCGCCGATATTTTAATCGAAAATCAATTGTATCAAGAAGCATTTGCTATTTTTACAAAATTCGGTGATAACGTTTCAGCCATCAAATTGTTAATTGAACACTGCAACGATTTGGAACAGGCTATGAAATTTGCTGAAAACTGCAATGAACGAGCTGTATGGTTACAATTGTCAGAATTCGATAGAATAGTGCTCGAAGGTAGAACCTATACATATATGTACATTTTTTAAAATTATTATATAGTTTTTTTCATACATAATAACTTTTTTATTTCAGAAATCGATGAAGATGACGCTTGCGTATCCGAATCTGAAGAACCACTACAAGATACTGTTGATACGCTCGAAATTTTTAAAAATGGTAAGAATTTTGTATCATATGTGGATCAATTATTTTTTGATTTTGTGAAAATTATGTGTAGTGAACTTCAATGAACTTATATTTACAGAGTTTGTTGTTGTTGACGAAGAACTTCAAAATATAGATTCGAAAATTCAAACACCTGAACTGACTATAGTTTATAAACAAGCATCACCAAAACCAAGTAACCATAGCATATGTGCTGGCAAAGACTCCAGCAGCGATGAATATATATTATATAATATACTATTTAAATAATTTTCAGACAAACTCAAAAGAAAGAATGAAAAACAGGTTAAACAAAAGCAAGGCGTGAAAGAGCTGGAAGAACGGCAACAGAAAATTAGGCGCAAAGAGAAAGGTAAAGAAATTATTTATTTTTATACATTTTTTTTAATTTTATACTCATTTTTTGTCTTACATTCACTTTTCAGAAAAACAAAAGAAAAACGAAAAGGAGGGGAAAACATTGCACAAAGAGAAAGGACGAGAAAAAAAAGGTTATGTATACATACTATAGTAAATATTATTCATTTTGAGAACCATTTTGGAATATGCATATTCATTGTGGAAAATTTTAGGGCGCCAGAAAAATGAAGAGAGAAAGCACCAAAAGGTCGCGGCTAAACAGAATACAAATCGAAAAACTAAAGCGGCCAAGTTTTTTGTTCCGAAAAAAGCCAAGAATAAAATGAAGACAAGTTACAACAAGATGAAAATAGACTTAGATCAAGAACATGTTCTACAACAAACATTTATGTCATTCCAAAAAAAGGAAGATACCAAGTTAGCACCGGTAACTAGTCGCACAATGAACGAAGATGAACGATCGAATTTTGAACAGCTAATCGCGTCTAATACTCCGATTTGCGATTTGTATTTGGCTCAGTTAAAAAATCATACCATTATTCCGAGAAAAACCAACCGCACCTGGCAAGATGATAAAGGTAACAATAATTTAATTGTAGCAATATTGAATGAATAGTTTCTCGGTAACTAACTAAAAACTAATGGTACTTGTTTGAATTTATCAACATTGTATGTTTAATTCTGTTGTACTTTCAGAAGTCATCGATGGTCAAGGTGTACAAGAAGAGCCGAAAAAATACTATCGAGCCAAATTTTTCAAGTTCGATGAAGATTCTTGTCCATCATTTTATGGTACTTGGTGTAAGAAGAGTAAAACTGTTAAATCACGTGGACGTAAGCCATTTGGATTGGACTCGGTATGTTTATTATTATTTTCAGATGAAAAACATATCAAAACATATTTTTGTTATATATATATTATGTTTTGTTATTATTTATAGCGATTGGAATTCGAGGTAGATTTTGATGAAGAAGAATCACTCTATAGTTCCGACAGTTTTGAGGACGAATACGAAATTGATAATGGTATGCAATGAATTATAATTCACTTTATTCTTTATAAAGTTGACTCCAGCAGTCAATGCATTCATATATGACTATATATTAGGGTGGAGCCTAATTGACTATAGTCCATAAGTATACTTATTCATATTTTGAATAATATATTTACAGAGTTTGTTGTTTCTGACGGTTACTTGAGTGACGAAGAACGTCAAAATCAAAATGAAATTGAATTAGATCAAGAAAATGATGTAGAACTCAAAATCCTTCATAAATTGAATTGTATGCGATTGATGAGAGGATTTTCGAAGTCGACGAACAACCGACAAAATATTACATGTGAGCGACCGAACAACCCAGCGGCAGTCAACAGTGATGCTGTAAGCGTCATCAATAAACCGATACCCGCCAGAAGCTTACAAAATGTCGACTTTGCCGAATTTATCGAAATGTTCAACGGCATCAAGCTATCAGATGATTCAAATAAGTGTACTTTGCCAGAGACTCAAGCACCTGAAGTGACTAACCATGGCTTGCAAGCATCACCAAAACCAAGTAACCATAGCATTTTTTCTTGCAGTAGTTGTGTTAAAAAATTCACCGCCATGAAAAATTTGAACGCGCATATTCGCACATTTCATGCTGCGACGTCTGTTAGATATGTGTGCGATTTTTGCGGAAAGTTTTGCTTTAAATCTAAGTCCAACTTAAATGAACATTATGAAAATGTTCATCGAGACCAAATTCCGCCGCACAAATCCCGATATAAATCAAAGATAATAAAGAGTACTGAAGAAAAAGGTAAAATCAGAACTTTTTGAAAGTTTTGTAGTTATAACTAATATTAATCTATAGATCTTGTTCATTTTTTTCTCTTAGGACGAGAAAATAATGTCACCAAAATCGATCGTGAACCCATGAAATGTCCGTTTTGCGTTAAGACGTGTAAGGGTACATTTAATTTGAAAAGACATATTAAAAGATTTCATCAAAAGTGAGTATTGTTAAATGAATGAATATTCGTTGTTTCATTTTCTACAAATTTGAATTATATTTTCTTTCTCTCTACAAATAGCTGAAAGCATACAAATCCAGTGGTGATAAATGCAATATATATCGATAAAAGTGATATTCCAAGTGTATTCATATTGACAATAATATTTATATTTAAGATACTCACAAATAATGTTTTATATGTATTATACATTACAAGAAAGAAAAAGAGAAATACTTTGTCATTTAACTTTTGTTATGTCCGACGTTATATAATTGTCAGAGTAACAGTCCAAACTGTATGCAGCGATATACAGCACAATAATACATTTCGACTCCAGCAGAAAAAGACTTCAAGTTATATATATATATATATATATATACATATGCACTGTAAACCGCAGTGTACACATATTCAATTTTTTTCGAGGACAACATTTTTCTCAAGATTTTAAAAATTATAAATATTCTTGTCGCCTATACGGTTGTTCAACTTTTTTGTTGTTCATGAAATTATTTGAAAATTAAAAAAAAATATTGACGCATAAAACATAACTTTTTTTTTGTACGGAGTTGGAATTGACTACAATTTGGATCTAATCTGGAGTCGGAATTTCCCAGCAAAATTTCCATTTTCGACTACGAATCAGTAGAAATCGTTTTCAATTTCATATCCATTTTCGAACAAAGCATTACTTTTTTCGACCGACGAAACGAACTTGGGACATTACATATTTGTTACTTGGGTAATCAGACCGATGAAATGGAAGTGTTTATATCAAGCACATGTACCAGTGTCTAATCAATTCGAATTCACTTGTAACTGTAAACATTTTTTGACATGTTGTTTCAGTTATCAGTATTTCTGTAAGTGTTCGTTTCGAAATTTTTTACATTCTATTTCGTCGGAGCTGATATGTGCCAAAATTTGTGGCATTTAAATGCAAAATCTTGTTACAACGTCTAAACCATGTATATACATTTTATGTACAACAACTACAGTGCATATTGCACGAGAAACTTATGCACATTTGCAAACTTTGCTTATGCTTATGCTTATGCTTATGTACAGTACAAGCTCACGTGACATCTTGAAAATGTTTGCAACAAAAGTTTATGTTTGCTTTGGACAAGATCATCAGAATGCAAGGAATTTCATATCGAGAGAATTTTTAATTTAATTGCAATATCATTGAAATTTGAAACTTCAGTATAGAATAATTTAAACTTTTGTTCAGTTCAAAGTGTACTCCACACAGATATCAATACATACACGCATATTTGGATTCAAGTATTTTATTATAATTGCAAGAACTCGAAATGACTTTGTGCATATCATGTGAATGCATCACTCTAATATACAATCATGTGCATTATATTACGTAGTAAATTTTGTACTCTGTTTAATTAAAAGCATTTATGGATTCGGTGCATATTGAGGTGTGAGTGGAACCATCACCTTAATACCTTTGATAGACATATACACCGTATCGAAAGAGAGAAATATTGATTCAATTTGTCAGCACATGATTTGGTCGAGGATCTCGAATTAATCGAATTTCAAACATGGTCGGATAAATGGTTTCCATTGTCGTTGTAATTCTATTCGAATTGAAACGATGCTACTCCTAGTATGCATACATACAAATCCAATCGGGTGTATCGACATTTTACGATATTTAATATACTCATAATCGGTCGGCATCATGGAAAACTATCGTAAGAGGAACTTTTTGAAAATTTTCCTTCAAATTGTTTACAATTTTATCACAACTTTTATCAGTAATAACATTTTCAATCATCTATAGGCCGATGATCCAGTTACTTCATTTCCTTTGTTTTGGTTTCTTTTGTAAAACTATTTTCCATGCATTTTAATACAATCGTTTTTCATATTGATGTCTTATATATCTAATGGCAATGCCGAATATCATAAATGTATAAAGTTTGTATATTTTCCAGACACCCTAATGCTTACTCTGATTCAAAAGCTTGTAGTTTGAGATGGTTAAGTCATCATCCGCATTTGTCTGTATGTATGTATAATTCTTAGTCTGAATTGTTAATATCCGGTTCAAAATTGAAACTTCAACCAGCCAGTTGTTACATACCAAAGTATTCAATCTAGGTTCATTTGTAGGATATTGAGAATTATAGCATGTTTCTTGTTGTTTGTGCTGCTGATATTGTTGTTGTTGTTGTTGTTGCGCAAATGCAAACAATCATCAATAGTCAAACAATCAATCAATAGCGGAAATTTAACAGATTACCAATTAAATGGAGAGAGAGAGAGAGAGAGAGAGAGAGAGAGAAAGAGAGAGAGAGAAAGAGATGGAGAATAAGAATGCGAAAGAAGTAGGATCCAAATGTGTATGTGTGTGTGTGAGTGCCATTAAATTGCGTATAAATTTTCGAAGCCTGAAAAGGTTTTGTATCAAAATTGCTGTTGGCTGAATTAGTTAAATTTCGTTTCATTAAATCGACGAAATGAATGTTAACGTTCGAAAAATTCGTTCAATTGCCGCTATTTGTGTCGAAAATTTGATCGTTAAATATTTGTATAAAGTTATTTGCGAGAGACACAGAGAGAGAGAGAGAGAGAGAGAGAGAGAGAGAGAGAGGACGGGAGAGGTTCATTTTACTACTTCGATTGATTGCGAAAGCTGCAAGCAAAAGTCAAAATTAAATTAAAATGAAATGCACATAAACACTGAAGCTATTTAGAGAGAGAGAGGGAGAGAGATACGCAGAAAGAGAGAGAGAGAGAGAATAGAACACATCATCGCACTTATGCACACAAAACTTCGGTGTGCTTTAATTGCATTCAACGTTTTAATAAATTTAATTTTGCGACTTCAATTCACATTTTAAACTTCATAATAGATGTATATACCAGGATAGCGATGATCAGTAAATGTTTCATTTTCTTCATTTACAAAAACAAAATATTTATTGTTTATTAAATTGAAATTCATTTGTACCAAAACATTGCTATAATTATGTTCGTTGAAATCATTCAGTTTTTTTTAAATTCAATGCTCTTTCTGGTTCGCATTGAAGTTATTGAGCGTATATTATGTATACTGTCATAGCTGGGCAGACAGGGGGGATTGCCCCAAATTTTTGCGTTACCCCTTCACAAAATTCATGATTTTGGATAGAATTTTTCTCATTTTGCTAGGGTTTTTGGATCATGAAATTTTCCTATTTTGAGAAAATTACCGCCCCCCAATCCCCCTGCATTTTTCAGTCTATGATACTGTATCAAAATGAAACTCTCAATGTTCAAAGGATCGGAGAAGTGCACGACACAAAACATCGAATACGCTTAATTCTGGAAAATAGAGGAAAATGTCACGAAAAACATGGGAAATGACTGTGTTCACAATTAATTTAATTAATCCAAAGAGTTGCTCATTAAGTGCTATACAACAAAATCACTTTCAACTGAACTGTTCTAATGATGTGCTCAATACGTTTTTGACAGAGTCACAGTGTTCATTGTCGCTGTTGCCGTTGATGTTATTTCCTTCATTTTGGCCAAATTAATGTTCTGGATTTTCTCTCTGTTTGTATCGTGCACCGAAAAGATGCGCCAAAAAAATATTCTATAGTATGCATTCGTCAGCAATGACTTCGAAAAGGAACTTAACTCATTTTTTTGTGTGAACATCAGCTTATATAGATATTTTTTTTTCAGTTCACCGCAAATTTTGGAATATAATGATGATGTTTGTAAATGATTTTCTCTCTCTCTCTCTCTCTCTCTCTCTCATACATTTCCTCACTTTGTGAATACTTTTTAATAAGTCTTGGCAGTAGAATTTTTGACTCGATTTACAATTCGATAGACAATCTTTGGATGGCATTTATTTTTCGCTCGTACAATTTTCTACTCATTTGCTGTTTTCAAATTCGCTTTAGCAATTTCATTGTGCTACTTGTAATCTGAATCATCCGAACTTTTCGGTCCATACATTCGGTTTAATTTATTATATTACTTGTGTTTGTGTGCGGGCGTGTGTGTGTCTGTCTTTTTTTTATTGTCTTGCACTCTTTTTAAAATTGAACCGAAAAACTTTTCGTATATTCCATGATAATCGGTTAAATCAACATGTTTAACTTAACCATGTGTTTATATTTAGGAAGTTTTCCTTCTGCTTCGTGCTTTTATTTATGTTATTTTTTTCATCCTTGTTTTGTTATGTCCTGGTTTTCTTCTTTCACTTGTAGTCAAACTGTTCCACTTGTTTTTCATTGCTTTTGTTTTTCATTATGATAATGATAATGGTGATGGAAATGCATAGAAATTCTGAAAATGGTATAACATCGATTTTGCAAATAAAATTATCCCTTGTAAGAGTGTTCTCTTAAATTTTCTTTGTTCCATCCTTTGCCGCTCTTCTATTTTCAATTATTTCCGAAATGTTGTGCATTTCGTTCAATTTGAATGAATGAATTTTTGCTTTGTGCATAAAAATGAATCGAGTTAAAACGATTTGCTATTCATTACTCGTTATTCAAGTGTGGTTTTCGACCTATTTTTTTTTCTGCGAAGCAAGTTTGCTTGTAGAGTTTAGTTTATATACATTGCAGCCGAGTGCTATGGTCGTAATATAAAGTGAATGGCAGTTTGGATGCTAATGAATAGTGTAAAAACTTTTCGGAGACGACATACTTGATTGGATTGGACAAAAACTAACGAAATTAATCGATTTGCTAAAGTTCAATTCAATCTGTCCAGACGAGTTTTTTTTTTGGGTTTGCAAAATGAATTGAAACCCACCATTAAAATGGTTTTTGTACGACAAAATTTAGAACCGTTTCTTACATGTGTTGTCGTAGCGAATATAAACATAAATCAAAAGCATTTTGTATGGAATTCACCAAACTGTGATGGAAATAAAATAAAACCAAAAAAAATGAGATTTTGATTGTACTTACTTGGGCGATCCAGTTCGTTTAACAGGTCGTCTGCTTCGGAGTATGCTGCATGCACTTTGGTCAGATCACAATTGGTATTTAACAGTAAACTTAAAATGCATGAATAAATGAACCACTGAATGATCGAATTCGACACCGTTTTCACTAAATTATTAGCGAACATGATTTGTGTGGATATTCGCTGTTGCCGAAGACACCGTACGTTAACGTAAGCCATTTTTCTTTCCTTTCTCTATCTCTCTTGCTTTGGTTGTTCTTGTTCCGTTGTTTCTTTGTTTCACGCTATCGTTATATTTAACGTTTGTTTTTTTAGATTGAATGTATTTATTTCACTTCCGTCTACCTTATTTTACGAATCACCCGTATTCTTAACAAAAAACCATGTAAGCGCGCGCTCGCCTAAATTTTCTCAAAAATCTCTTACTATTCGTGTACATGTAAGCTAGAGAATGCGTAATTTTGTTTTCTTTTCTTTATTTCAATAAATTACTCTTGATTGTCAATGGTACAATACAGATTCTATTTCATTCTTTCTATTCTGTTTCAATGTTTTGTGTGAATGTGTGATCTGGGTGTTTGTTAATTTTTCATTCGTTCAAAAATACTCAACGAATTCCTCATGCATTCTATAGTTCGTTTTTCCGGTAGTGAGTTTGTTTGTCTCGTGTTTCAAATTCAGCAAATGTGCGTATACTTTTCGTATTCAGTGTATTACAGAGTGTGTTGTTTTTTAGTTATTCTGCCACACAACACAAGATACACTATAGACCATGAACGTTGGTCTTTCTTCTCCTTTCTTCTTTTTTCTGCACTTATTTTCTGTCTAGCGTTGTTGGCTTTTTTGCCTCTCGTTTGTTTTCAAGCTTTTGATCTGAACTGCTCCGGTGTTGTGCCACGGTTTGGATTTCCGGTTTCAAGTGTTCGATAGACAAAAAACGGATCTATCTGGAAAAATTGTACAATGAAACTTCACTATCCCGTTGATACGAAAGTTACGCAGAAACCCCTTCCATACAAATATTTCCGACTTTTTATTCGGTATTTGTTGTTCTTTCCTCGAAAGGAAAGGAAAGGAAATAATAGAATGAATGAAAGAAGGAGTAGGAAAAAACGCGTATAATGGAAAGGAACGATGAAACAACACCTTCAAAATGAATAAAATAACAAATCGTCTAATGGCATGGATTGTTTGCTATGTCGCTCTTTTTTTGTTGTTATTGTTTGTTCTATGTGCGTATGTGTGTGTGTGTGTGTGTGATAACGAACATTCTCAATGTATTGTTATTTTCATTTTTCCTTCTTCACACTGGATTTGTAGAAAAGCACTTGCTTTTGTTGCAGAATTGTATTGTTTTCGATTCCGTATGAGAAATTCTATATGCACTGACTTCTCTTCCACTTAGATTTCAGTGGTTGTTATTGTTATTGCACTTGTCTTTCTATTTTTTTCAGATTGGTTTTTTTTCTTCTGTACTTTATGTTTGTGTCTCACTTACGCCATCGTCTTCGTCGTTGTTTTTATGCTTCGTATTTTTTTTTTTGTTCTTTATTTTTACTTTATTCACACCAACCAATTTTCATTCGTTGCAGTTTTCGCTTCACTCTGCTGTGAGTTAGTTTTTCTTTCTTCACCACTTATTTTTCACATACATAAACCGACCTCCGTACGAAAAACAAATGAAATTATATGATTGTTACTGTTGCTGTATTGTTTCGTTTTTGCTTCATTTTTCATCTAAATCAAGCAAAAAAAAAGCGAAAACGAATGATATATTTATTTACGACTGATGTGATGTTATCATTGCCGCCTTTCGCATTATTCGACCTATCTTTAGTCTTTTTATTTGTTCTTGTTGCTTAAAGTACTACTGTTGGCCTCTGCTTTTTCTTTTCGTCTAATTTCTTTCTGTTGATTTCAATCAATCTTGATACATCTCTACTTTCTGTTATATTTGCTATTTTATTTCACCGCTAAAAATCAATTCAGCGCACACCAGTGCACAGTTGTTGTGTTTTTTTTTCTTCTTCTTAAAGCAAACGTTATATAATGTGATGGTCACATCAACAGACGATACGAATGAAAAAAAAATGCGCAAAAATAGAAAATAATATCAAGAGCAACATCCAAAGCCAAGCTTTTCATCAGATGCTCAGTCGTTGGAAAATGATCGGTTGCACGGTGTTCAACGAATAATATTTCATCGAATGACTAAACATTGATGACACCTGAATGTCAGAGGGTGCGTGCCACAGATACAATAAATTTTCTGTTCAAGAATATTGATTGCATGAATCAACTCGCTGTTTCGATGTGTATGTGCGTGGCTATAATAGCAAAAATGGTTTAAGTTTTCACAACAAAATACAAACGCTCGTCACTCGAAAAGAAAAAAAATGCAAATGAAACATTCTCATGATTTCATCCCCGAGGGTATTTTAACGATATCTATTAGCAGTGTCGAGACATAACTGGTGTAGATACTTGAATAACGGCTGCTTCTCATTATTATGTTTCATCTCATCTCATCTTAAAAACACGATTCGCAATAGAGATTATTGGCTCTCTCCCTTGATTGTTTTCACTAGATATCTTTTTCTCCTTCTTCTAAAAATGAATTGGCGAAATGGAACGTTTATTTTTCTCGTTTTCTCAAGATGTAAATATACAATATTCGTTTGGAATTTTGAGTTTTATTTCTTTTCTTGCTTTTCTCTCTTTCGCTAACAACCGTTTCTCTTTAATTGTATGGATAAGTGCAATCTGAATATACTGTCGTCAAAATCAATAATTATCATTTTCCATAAAATGCTTCAAGATAAGCGATATGGTTGCGGCTCGTACATCTTCTATATTCTTCTTCGTGTTTTTGTTGCGCGAATCGAGTGACAATGCAATTTTCCTCTTGTCATCACCTAATAAAGATGCTACAACTTGAATAAATTTTTCTACACTTCAGCTTCGATTTAAGAATTTTTCTCATCCTTTCTTCAATTTTCTTTCGCACGCAAACACTCGTCTATTTCAATTCGTTCATTTATTTATACGGTTAGTTGTGGTATTTTTGAGTTTCTCAGTTTTTCATGTCATAAGCACCAGTGATTCGATTTATTTTTCAAGTGAACATTTATTTTTCAGATACACACACATATATATACACTTTTTTTTTTCAACAAAACGATCCATATATGTATATGTGTAAACACAAATTGGTTTCCAACTCTATGTCTTCTGGTACACCAATGGATAATGCGCCCGCATATAACAATGCATATCTCTCTGGCTCTCTGAAAATAGACAGAAAAGTAATCGTTTTAGTATCATTATTGGGTTTTACAAATCGGTACAATAACACTACAACTACTCGACAACCGCTTCAAATGCTATTATTCTTCATGTTGAATGAACCATATTTTCCGATTAGTTTTTATTCGCTTTTTTTCAATTGTTTTTTATTATTATTATTATTATTATTATTTCGCCTCGTTTCGAAATTCAGTTTGCCGTTTGCCATTCTTTTCTTCATTGAAACACTTGGACTGATTGTGTATCAACGAATTTGTGTGTTTATGCTACATGCAATATGCTATTTTGTGTACAAAACGGATTAGGATATGCTTCAAACTTGTAATGCGATGTCGTGCTTTTCTTTTTTGTGTTGCTGTATAAAATATGTTCGGCTATTCATACTGATTACAAATTGGTATCACACAGAAATTCAAATTGAAAAATTGCAGGAAAATTGTTCGAAATGGTTTGCACAACTCCAATGGGTAAAGGAACTGAAAATATGGAATAAGCTTTGATCTCCATCGAAAGACCTGAATAGCAACAGCCATTTTTCTGCATTTGCATCTACTTGAATACTGTCGATTTTTCGAACATCAAAGATTCATACATATTTCGTCCACTTTAGAAGCTTATTCAGTCTAAATATGAAATTTAACCTCGTTTATTTACTGCGCACTGAATAGGATTTGTGTTTTTGAACGAACAGTGAATTGCGAATGAGAACACAAGAGAATATTTTATAAAACTGAAATTGCCATATAAATAAAGTTGTGTTATTTCACTGTCTCTCTCTTTCTCTCTCTCTCTCTCTCTCTCTCTCTCTCTCTCTCTCTCTCTTCTCTCTCTCTCTCTTGCTGTATATTTTCAGTGTGATGCGAACGAATACGCTATTGCACACATTTTGCTTCTCAATTTCGCTTTCTCTTTCTCCGATCTCGTCCCTCTTAGTCGATAAGTCACCGTACACAACACAGCATCAGCAGCATTCAGCAATGAATATTGTTTTGGATGATTTCAAACCCATTGTAAAATAGAGAAAGATGGCCAAACAGTACAACACTGAACACTACATGATTTCCATATAGATAAAATTGTGTACTGATATTGTAGACATTATTCAGTACCAAATATTTTTGAGACAAAAAGATACCCGCCAAATGTTCCCTTTTTCTCTCTCTCTCTATCTCTCTTCTTCCGAAATGGCCATTATACGTTCATCTATTGCTCTGTGTTCTTTTTGTGTGTGAGATGCCATGCAACCGGTGAACAAATCCAATGCTTACAAAAATTTGAATAAATGCAAACGCAAAAAATTGGGAAAATACTTTTAGTATCATGGCCACAGCATGCTTTACCTTGCAACAACAACAGTCTATATACGTATAATTGGAATTATAGAAGTAGGACTGTACTTGCCACCGAAACAACGTCTGCACCGCAATACTGTGTGATTCCAATTATTGTGGTTCGTACACGTTTTTCTTTTCTATTTATTGCTATAATTTAGATTCAATAATTTCGGTGGTATCAAACATAAAACGCGCTATTCTGACAACAGAAAAGAAAACCGAGAAAAAATCTGCTGATGTAACCAAAGAATGTTGCGCCAAATAGCTGATTTTTACAATGCGTCTAATCGGTAGAACAAATCGCTCGATCAATATATGCAATGCATATAGTAATAAAAGTCATAAACATAATATTTCCATAAATATGAAAATTCACATTATTTTTCGCCTTGCATTATATGCTTTTGATCTCAAACACACAGACGCTTTTTTTTCGTTTCGTGTGCGCACATTCAATTGAGATTTGTAGTGAATGATGAGTGTGTCGGAAACGCTGTTCAAGTGTACTATCTACATTCAATGGGGGGAGAGGATCATGGCATAATAACATTCGATGAAGCAATAGATTACAATAGAAAATTCGATAATATTTAAATTCACAGTTTTCTCTTTCGTTGTTTTCTCATGTCTTCGCGCTTTCAGCCAATAGTGAAGTAAAAACCACTATAAAAGCACATACATTGTGATAACAGTGATACGCACACAAACAGATCATTTAATTTAAGCACAAAAGCAATATCCCCGCCACGCTACCACCAATTTAATGCATACACAGCAAGCAACTGAACAAACACACTCCATAAGAGTTTTGTTAGTGTGCGATAATATGAACTTTTACGTGAAAAATGACAATTTTTGACAGCTGACTAGCTCATAACAAGAGAAACTCACATCCTCTTTTAAGATTTACAAAGACAAAAAAACCGTACATATCCTCGCAACGAACATATTTACGTCAATACGCTAGACTGTCACATAAAAAGAAAAATTTCCGAAATGCAATAATGCGATCAATAACATTAAAAAACTAATCTTATTGAAAGATTTCACGCTATGATTTGTAGTTTATTGTGAATTGCCCATTGAATTAAAGTAAGCTTTAAATGTTGTTTTATTAATGTAATGGTATTTCCTAAAAATTTCTATTGTTGAGTGAATGAGCGAAAATTAATTTATATTTTATGAATAAAACCAACTGGGTGCTTGTCTAGGGGATAACCGTGAATTGCAGATCGAATAATTTATAATAATAAACGCTATTTCTCTCTATTTTTCACTAATTCTGCTAGTATTTCTACTAGTTTGTTCTAATACTGCTATTTTTTGCTAATTTCTCTAGTACGTCAAAAATATTGCATACGTCAGATTGACAGCATGATCAAATAACTGAAATGTGTTTACGTAAATGTTTCAAGTTGACACTTTCAACGTGTATATTTGAAGCAGGCACTAGCGTATACGTTTTCAGTAAGAAATCTGTCATCAAATCTACATTTCCGATTGCAATTCGTAAATTGTAGTTAATACAGATGAAACGTGCTTGGTTACGTGCCATTGAATATATTTTTATTTAAAAATGAGAAAAAGCGTATTAAACTACATATTTTGATACATTTTAGTTCAATACTATTCAATTCGTTTGTTTTGTGAATTTTATTTTAATTAATTATTTCAATATATTCAAGAATAAATGCTTACTAAAGTATATACGTGTACAGTGCTAATTCTGCTATTTATTGCTAATTTTGCTATTTTCTTCATGTAAATTTCCCTATTTTTTGCTAATGTGCTAATTCTAATTCGCATGGATATCCCCTAGGTGCTTGTAATACAAAACATGAAATTGCGTTTTATTTTCATATAAATCGTAGATATGCAGAAAAACTACATTCCATCGTTTTGTCCAAACGATTTGTTCCAGTTGTTGGCCGGCACCGTTCCAAACGCCAACAAATGGCATGCGAAAAATATTCAAAGCATAAAATAAATCGCCGATCGATAAGCAAATAATAATAGAAATGTAATTTTCTTCTGAAACAGCAAGCAGCTCATAATAGAATTCAAAATAAGATTGAGTTGTCGGTGCGAATAAAAAGAGCGTATACAAATAAACATAGTTATGATTATAAGTTGACAATTCAAAACGGGGTGAATGAAATAGAATCGAAAAGTGAGCGAGATCGAGAGAGTAATGAACAGACACGAAGTAGGGAACAGTGAATTTCCTCTTCTGTGTGCGTTGGCTTTCGCACTTTGTACGGAGCGACCATAGAAATAGAAATGAAAATTATGTGTCGAATGGGAAGATAGAATATTATTGCTGAAAGTCACGTGTACAATGTTTACAAATGACTGTTAAAAACTCATTATGGACGAATGGAATCGAGCGTTTGTTGTTTTGCCTGCGTATTTCGCATTTCAGCATTGGAATTATGTGAGTGTTGGCAATTGAGAGGTAGGCAATGGTTGTTCTATACACAAGAGGTTCCCGTATATATTGATAGGAATATGGAATGGAGGCATCGGCGTGAATATGAAAGTGTGCGAGCACGGACACGAATCGTGTTTCGAATTTTCCGTGCCGAAATGAAAGATAGAGCGAGAAATGAGAGCGAAAAAGCATGTCGAATGAAATAGAAACGCTTTTGTTATTAACGCCTAAGCCAAATGCTATTGCATTGAGTCAAACAACACAGACATGCTTCCAATCCTAATTTTGTTAACAGTCACACACACACATCGAGAGAAAGAGAGAGAGAGAATGGCTTTGTATACCAGTTGCCACTGGTAATCGTTAATGTTCTTCGAATGAAATTGAAATAAATGTCTTTAGGTAATTTATTATGATGTATTTTATTTTTATTATTGTGTTGTACTCATTTCTATTTACGCTTCAACTCTGTGTGCAAGCGAGCGCTCATTTATTAAACAAAATAGCGGCTGAACGATTAGAGAATTTCAGTTAGAAGTTGCAAAAATTGTTATTTACTGCTAGAATATTTTGGATACAAAGAAAATGCCATCCAAAAAAGCCACAACTATATACACGGCAACATCGAATATTTCGGTTGAGACAAAGCATAAAATGGAAATCGAGTCACACTGAAAAAGCGAAAACAGTGCGTAGTATTATAACATTTAAGGAAAATGTCGAACGCAAAATTGTCTAGACTTTGGGGGCATATTATTATTCTTTTGGAAGGCTTACAGCAACGGCAGCAAGTGTAATCGCCTTTCGCACCGTTTAACTAGCTCATTCCGTAATGGATATTTTAAAGGCATCACATTGCTTGCTTGCTCTCTCTCTCCCACACTCGGTGGGCGAATGAATGGCCATTCGCGTTCACAATGCGAGGCGATAATTTTTCATTTTCTTGAAGCATTTTTCGGTTGTTCAATGGAATTGATGATTGTGTTTTTTATACGCGCGCGTGAGAGAGCCATGTCGGCGTTGACAGGTGATCCAACGTAATGAGTATTAATAGACTAGAGGTTAAACCGTTTTCTTTTTTGTATTTCGTTTTGGCAATGATGAAATATTATTGTGAACAATGGATGGATATGTACGGGGGCCCATTAGACGCACGCCAAATTGTGATTTTGGTTTGTAGCTTCATTTCAAATTGTTTGCAGCAGCCCAAAAATCC